CTAGACCCTAAACCCTAGACCCCAAACCCTAAAACCCCAAACCCACAATTTTTGTAGGTTCTTATTGTAAGCCCTAATATGGGATTTATAGGGACCCTACAAAAAAGTAGGTTTGGGGTTCTTAAGGTAGACCCTAAACCCTAAACCCCACATCCCGAAGCCCCTAAGGCTGAAAGAAGCGGGGACGACTCACTCCGAGGTTGGGGACATGGAGCTTGGTTTAGGGTTTAGGGTTTAGGGTTTAGGGTTTAGGGTTTAGGGTTTAGGGTTTAGGGTTCTTTCCGACGCTTCTGCTCCCAATGTAGGGGCCTAAATAATTAGAATAGGGCTTTGGGGGTTCCGACGCTTCTGCTCCTAACTTGAGGGCTTTAGTTTAGGGATCAGGGTTTCCGAACAGCCGAAAGAACGTGGTTGTCCGAGGCATGTCGGGATCAACACAGCGGCTTCCCCTCTTACGGCTTGATGGGAGTTTCAGAAAAGGGACCCTGATATAGGACCCCAACTAGTAGGATCCTTATTATAAGGACCCCAAAAACCCTAAACCCTAAACCCTAAACCCTAAACCCTAAACCCTAAACCCTAAAAAAATAAGGTACCCTAGTTTTGTGACATTCCCTGATGTTAATGGCAGGGCTTGGGGTCTTAGATGACCTCCGTCTTCCGGGATGCTGGACAAGGAGCATAGGAACACAGGGTTTAGGGTTTAGGGGTTTAGGGTTTAGGGTTTAGGGTTTAGGGTTTAGGGTTTAGGGTTTAGGGGTTTAGGGTTTAGGAACAAGGCGGAAAGGGGGAGTGGGGCCAAGGCGGTTAGGACCTCAAGCAATGGTTAGGGCTTATTCTGATCTGGAGCTTTTTGGGATTTAGGATTCGCAATCCTGAATAAACCCTAATCCCTAAACCCTAAATCCTAAACCCTAAACCCTAAACAGCATTCGGTTTTGGCTTCTCAGCTTACCTGGGGCTCGAGACCTGATCAGTCACACACGTCGCTCGACCTCAAACACACGACAGCCTCAAAGCCGAATCCTGAAGACTGTAAGCCTAATTAGGGTTTAGGGTTTAGGGTTCAGGGTTTAGGGTTTAGGGTTTAGGGTTCAGGGTTTAGGGTTTAGGGTTTAGGGTTTAGGGTAAGCCTAATACAGGGGCCGAATTAGTTAGAATAGTGCTTTGGGGCCCATTATACTATAATTATCACGAAGAACCCCCAAAACAGTATATTATTATTCCGATGGTGCGAGGTCCGTCGCGAACGTACCACTAGCATACGAATTCCTGGGTGAAACAGAGAGAAATCGCTGGGCGCCCTGGCGTCGATAGGCCCGTGTTGAGCCAGTCGGCGAGCAGCCCGAGCGTGCCCCTGTGTCCTTCTACGCAGATGCGGCATGGTCGACCCAAGGCGGCAAGGGCGAGCGCAACCCCAAGCCACGCAAAGAGAAGGTGGAGCCAGCGCGCGTGACGGCGCAGAGCACGTAGAGTGCACGGGGCAGGTTCCCAGACAGGTTGGGAAGGCACAGGAGGAGCAGGTACCTGTAGGAAAAGACCAGAAAATCCACATCCTACCGGGGGCTCTTGCCAGAACACAGACTTGAGAGTGGCTGGGCAGGCTCCCGACATAAAGCCAAACTCGTCGTGCCATGACTCAGTGTCCGCAAGAAAGGGCAAGTCAGCCCAGAGGGGAGTGACCGGAAGGCCACGGAGAGCGGGAACAAAGTCTGTAGGTGAGGTCTCGCCCCGCCTCGCCCTGGACGCAGAATCGCAGAGGAGGTCTACCTGCAGGCAGAGCAACACGTCTGAAGCCCACAGAGAAAGCTGTCCATCCACAATTTCAGCGATCCATGCGCTCAAAGTATTTCGGAGCACGTGGAATGGTTCGACAGCACTCCTAATACAGTCAAATATATCGGAGTCAGATGTGAATTGCCCGTCACGCAGGTTCCGAAGAAGTGCAGCTGACACATCGGGGCCCGCCGGAGGCACATGAGTAAAGTCGCCCCCGCCGGATGCGACGCACTGGATGTGACCCGGCAAAGAGGCATCCACAGGAAAGAGTGTGGGCAAGTCCCGCTCCACAGCTTGACAACATCGCACGGAGTCAATGAGATGCCTCTGATGCCTCTTAAGAGTCGCGAACTTAACACCACAGGCTCGGCAGGCCAGCCCCTGCGCAAATCGGCGCGACCTTGACATGTATCCATGTGTGCGGGCGGCATGTGCAGACCAGGAGTGGAAGTCAAAGAAAGCGATCGAACAGATCAAGCACGCATGTGTTGCTACCTCCAATGGCAAGGGGGGGGCCGGCATAGGCTCCCAATGTCGCCGGCAAAAGCTCTGGAACGCGGCACGTGACTCCATGACCCCAACATGCCAAGCGGTCGCACGCTTAAGCAAGCCGCGGAACCGCCGAGGTGTCTGGAAGGCAGCAACCCACTGGGTCCATGTCTCGGCGAGACCCTGCAGTCCAGTGGTGGAGGAACAAGCCCGGGCAAACCAATCCGCAGCGGTTCGAAATGCCTCAAGGGCTCGTGGGGTGTGCTGCAAAAGCGCAAAAGCGGCATCCGGGCCAGTGCGGACCAACTGGGCAAGGAAACGCAAACGATCAGCAGAAACCAACCCAAGCAAATCCGGCAACCCAACCGCAGCGAGGACCCTCTCCGTGCTCCAGTTCTGCGCAGCTGCGTGGGGGATCCGCAGCATCGCTCGCAACATGTTGAAGTAGCAAGTCTCCAGGATTTTCCAACTGGACTTACAGAGACATGGCCAAGCTCCACATCCCGACAACATTGCCGAAAGCACATGCGAGCGAAAAAGGAGCACTCGCTTCCGCAAAGCAATGTGCGGAGTACAGAAAACGGTTGCCCGCCCCTCCCGGAAGAGTTGCCGAGTATGCTGAACCCGGGCACGGGCTTCTGGGATCATGGAGCAGTTAAAAGAGAGCACATAGCCGAGGTGTCTGTATTGAGGGACGACGTCGAGTACAAGTGATCCGACGTTCTCGCAAAGCACCGGGAGCTTGCCACCTGCCTTCGTGAAGACAGCATCTCTGGTGTCCTTAGCGCCAACACCCCTAGGCGCAAGGATGACAGCCGTCTTTTTCGGCCCAACATTAGGACGGAGCCCATGGCTGAGAAGGGTGTCGAAAGAAACCCCGGCAACGTGGCGGGCAGCTTGAGGGAGCTCAGACGCCTTGCGCACCAAGATGCAAGTGGCTAAGTCATCAGCGTACACCACATCCTGCACCACCTCCTGTTGTTGCCCAGCCCGACGGGCATCAAAGGCAACAGGGCTGCGCCGACCGGACCATGGAATGACCGGCTGGAGACCTTCCTGCGAGAAATCCCCCCGACGCTGCAGCACTCGGGCGAACAGCAGGCTGAACATAACATCGGCCCAGCTGGAAAACGGCCGCGTTCCACGGCGTGTGTGAACCACATGTCGGTCACGTTGAAGCAGGAACCATGAATCTGCATGTAACTCCTTGGCAAGCGAGTGGAGCAACTGCTCCCCGTTTTCCCCAGAGAGAACCGGATCACATGAGGAATGGTACTGAATGGCTTGCAAATCCTCCTCAGTCAGTCCGAGCGATCTAGCAATATCGGTGACGGGTACAGCCGATGCATCGCAGCCCACAAGGGTCTCACGCACAATCGCGTAATAAGCGGCAGCGAGATCACAGAAAAGGATTCCGGCTGAGAGACTGTGCTGCTGCGCATAGTCCAGAAACAGCCTGGTGCAGTAAAAACCTATGTTGTGACTCAAACCGGCCCTCCCGCCAATTTGCAACGGTAAGGCACGTCTGTCAAGGCCGGCCATGGCAATTGGGCGGAGCACCTTATGAAGCACCTTTTCCAGGGAACTTTGGACCAAGATCCCCCGCTCGGAACTAAGGCTACAGAGCCCCTTGTCCTTGGAACCTGGTTTCGGAATGTGAAATAAGGTGCCACCCTTATAACCAACGGGTTCCGAACCATAACAAAGCGCCTTAAGGAGTACAGGCCAGAACACGGTAGCCAGCGGGGTAGAAAACCGCGCACAGAGAGCAGGTGGCAAGCCGTCAGGCCCCGTAGCCTTCATGGCACTGACTCCTCGAAAAGCATCACGCAGAGCCACGATATCAGGGATGGCATCGCACTTCAGCTGGTCCTTGGCCGGGATGGTGGCTTGCCGTGCAAGACACTGAGAGGCGAGGGCAGCCGCGTCCATGCACACCCCGCCCTCAAGGTCTGCAAAATGTCTCCGCCATTCATCCTGGACTTGCTCAAAAGACTGGCACACAGTGCCGTCTGGCCTCTGCAAGAAAGGCAATGGCAGCGGACCCCCGCGCCGAAACTTACGGGGACGAAGGAGCCGCTTGAGCGCAGTCTGTGTGTCGCCTGGGGAGGCTCGGTCAACCTCCGCCGCTAGCCCCTCAAGGTAAGTCCGCTTGTCCAGGCGGCAGCGCCGTCGAAGCTCCTTGCCGAGGAGGCTTATCTGTCTCCCCAGCAGGGCGATAACAGTCTGAAGAGCGGTGGACCATCGGCACGCAATCATGCCGCAGTAGTCAAGATCAGCATCACGCCAAGCGGCAAAAGCGCAACGAAGGAACGAAAGCTTCTGAGCGGCAAGGCGATCCCGAAGTGCATGCCGGAATCTGGCAATCTGAGCATGAACCT